TATACATAATAACCACAAAAACAATTTTACAGATACGAATGTGTCCAAGTAAGCACATTTCTAAATAGACTATATTAGGCACTCTAATAATGACTATCTATTTTACCATGCACATATAATTTTTTTCCTAGACACTTTGTTAGGGAAAACGTACGATACTTATCAAGACTTAGAACAAATCAAATATGATGCTAATTGCCAAGTTTTGATGACCCTTGTTAGGAAGGAATGAGGATAACACATGAAACTAAAAGCACACGAAGACACTATATTTACATGGTTCCTTCAAGGTGACTATGTCTACAGGTAGGAGGGGAGTATTCTTTGTTCACAGATTTCTCAAATAGAGATTACAAGTACAACCATTAAATATTCGTCATACTCACTAAGGATACAAAAGACAAGACACATGACTTAGCATGTCCCCTCATGTCCCCTAATTATACTTGAGGGATCATACCTAAAAACCTAATGGGCCAAGCCCATAGGCCCATAAGAGGTTTCAACCAATCATAATCCATCATGCCACATCTTCTAGAACATTCATCGATGTCATAAAATCCACGAGCATCAGCAAAACACATGATGGAGCATCATGAGCCATAGTGGTGCATCATGATACATAGGTGGTGCATCATGAATACTAATGGCACTTCATCCATCAAGGTGGCGCATCAAGGTGTATTCCTTGGGCATCTTCAACTTCATCGCATCCTTGGATAGTCTTGAGCATCATAGAGGATTTCATAGCATGCAGATCATCAAGGGATACCTTGGCATATCAAGGAACCAAGTGGCGCATCCTTGCATCAAGATGGTGCATTAAGCATATGGATGGTGCATCTAGACTCTATACTGACACATCCTCTCCATAATGGTGCATCCTCCTCATGGAAGGCATATCCTACCACTTGGTGGCATATCATGTCACTTGGTTGCATATCAGGTCACTTCGTGGCATATCCTATCCTTTGTCACGAGATCCATTCCATTCTCAGACGATCTATTCCTTTGTTACATGCTCCATGAATCCCAAGTGCTACATTGTGTTCCAAGTGCTCTATTGAACTCAAATGCTCCATGAAAATGCTAAAAATTATCAAGTCACATTTAACAATCTCCACATTGACTTGAGCATCCTATGAACTCCACGTTAAACAAGAACTTCCTCTACATTTATGACATCAAGCCCCGAAGGAGCTTACCTCCTGCGAATATCAAAAAAGACCAATCAAAGCTTAAACTCCTCTTTGGGCAACGACCTTGACACCATGTCTTCTGGATTCTCCTTTGCACCATAATTTTGAATGCATAACATATCATAGATCATGATAGGTTTCTCTACCATCAAAAGAAGACTCCAAATGAGACCAACCGCCAATGATCTACTTATCACAAGATCACTTTCATGGTCCTAGTCTATCAATCCAACCAAATACGTATGTCCTGCATTGTCAGCATACATGAAAGAAACATAAAGCGTTTCTTACAAGTGTCACAAGATCCACTTGACCACTTGCCAATGAGCTTTCACCCGATTGCCTTAAACCGCCAAAGAAGTACCTACACGTTTGGACTGATCACGATAGAACGACTGCATGACTTTCTCCATGTATTGAGAAATGTATAACCATCCAACTCTTCTATAAATCCAAATCTCCATCCTTGTTATCTTCTTTTTAACTCCTAAATCACTCATCAAAAGCTCATTCTCCATTCGCTTCTTCAAGTTGTATTTCTTGACATCAACATCATCAAACACTTCTTCATGGATTCCTCGGGTCTATGATGTTCCATGCCACCTTGATATTTCTTATTTATCACAAAATTGTGTGGGGATTTTGTTTCAAACTCCACATTCTGGCTAGCACCCCGATCGTCCCCTACAAAAGTTGTACCACCTCCTCTTTGGTTACACATAGTAGATTCAAAGGTCACATCTATGCTAATAACAAATTTTGGAGTCTTTCCTTCTTATGTACACCATAAACGATGACCTTTACCTCCAAATGCATATCCTAGAAATATGCACTTCATTTCCCTCGGCTCCAATTTAACATCATTCACAAGAGCGTAAACATGGCATCCAAATATTCGTAAACCAGAATTATCAGAGGGTTTCCCATAACACACCTCTTGAGGAGTCTTACAATTAGTTATAGTTGATGGAGATCTATTTGCTAGATAGCAAGCAATGTTGATTGCTTCTGCCCAGAATTGCTCCAATAAATCAATATATAGTCACATGCACTGAGCATACTCTACCAGTGTTTGGTTCATATGTTCTTACACTCCCCTTTGCTGTGGTGTTAGCCGTACATGTGCATCAGATATCAAAGATCCAGAACTAGCTGTAACCTTCCAGATTTGTTCCTAGATTGTATTAAGAGAATTCTCTAAACCCTTGAACAAACTTTCATCACCCTCTTTTTTCTTTTCAATCAATTATTTATACTCAACATTAAATGCGTGCATATCTTCTATTAAAGTACGAGTGATAGCCAACAACATTATTTTGGACTCCAAGGAATAATCCATCAATCTTTTTGACTTCTATATTGAGAAAATCATAAACTTCCTTGATATTTAGTTCAACAAACTTCTTGAGCTCAGATAAATTCTTTGTAATGATCTCATGTCGTTCTTGTGCAACATTACGAACATCAGTGAGATCAAATTAAACAATCTTCAATTTATTATCAAATTTGTCATGGAGTTAAATCACTACTCCTTGCACCATAATTTTAACCTTCGACTAATGGGAACTCAATAAATACACAAAATCCTATTTGATGGATGATGAAGAATTATTCCTAGTAAAATCATTGATTAACTATAGAATCATATTCATCTTCGAGTTAAGGATTTTTTATTACTTCCTTGACATCAAAGCTTCATCAGCTATGTATTCCTCTTTAGGATAAAAAGTCAATTCTCCAAAACCAAAACCTTCATATTCATATTCTTCCATGGGATGGGGACTACCCTTTCCTTGATCAGTTGATTGCGAAGAAAACAAAGTGGTAATTGGTTGTGTAAGAATACTAACATATGTTGGAAAATCAGAGGTGTATTTATGCAATGAGACTTTGAATGGTGAATCTGATGGTGGAATAACAGTCGAAGAATCGATTGTAGATTTCTCACCCATATTAACATTTGAGTCCACATGAGATGTGTGTTTAGGGATGTCTGAAGTTCTACCCATCTATGGAATGGACCTGGTAGTAGGAAACTCAGGTGGTATGATAGTGGTTATTGATTTAGGAAGAGATTGCAAAGGTGTTTCATCGATTGTGATGTTTGTGTCCATATTAGATGTGTTCACAGTAACATCCAGATTGCCTATCTCCTATGTATTAGATTCAATAGTAGCAATATTTAGTGGTGAAACAGGTGGTGTATCATGATGAAATGCATCATGGACTAAATGATTTACATCATATGCATTTGCATCACGATGAGATTGTGAATATTGTCCCTTCGACAAATCCATATCTTCTGTGTAAGTAGCTTCATCATCATCAGGAGTATCGAGAATAGTAACTTGAACTGTCTTCTTCTTCTTCTTCATTGGCTTAGTGACTTGCTTCTTACTAGCCATCATATTTAACACACTAGTAGCCTTTCACTTCTTCTATTGTTTCTCATCACATGAACGTTCTATAATCACAAAACCTCCATTTGATTTAGACTTTGTCTTCTTAGGTGTAGTCACCCTAGGAACATCAACAATCATTTCATGATATTATATCAAAACAAGATTCAATAGTGGAACTAACTCCTGCACAGCCTCTGATATTCTTCCAATAACAGGAAAAGCTTCAGGATCATCAACCAAACTTTTAGGAATTTGGAGATGACAAAATACAACTTCCTCTCCTTCTGGAACTTGAATTCCTTCTGGTTGATAAGATTCAATAAGAACAACTCCAAAATCTCACACTTTCTATCTCAATAGCTTTCTTTTCATGACTAACATACGTATTGAATTCTTCCCATAACAACGAAGCATAATCCACCTTCATATAATAATACAGTCCTGCTAAAAAGGGAATAGGAGCTGGAGTTTTGCCCTATCTCGTCCATAATTTCTTCCAATTAGACATCGAATAAACATGCAAAAGAAGAAACACCACATTGAAGGTAAATTGGACTTTTGAAAACTACCGATAAGAGTAATAGAAGGATAATACCCTATTTCATTCAACATAGCAAAGACTTGATTAGGTGACAGAGTTTCAAATGGACCATCCGATTTAGCTTCAAGATTGGAGTAAATTGCTTCTTCATGAGATTCTTTTTGCTTTTAGTTTCCATCTGAAACATAATGATTTCATAATCCCTTTTGTAAACAGTAGTGGAACATGTCAAGGATAACCTATGGAAAAGGAAGTAGTTAAAGCATGATGAAGAATAGGACCGTTCAAATATTGAACGAGCATCTTCAATTTTTCAGGATAGGCAGAAAGATCGAGATTAAACTATACATTCTTAGACTAGATCTTCATTTGAGGAACCAAACTTGCTTCATCAATTGTATTGAACTGATCGACGTGAGACATGATGATTAATTGATCAAAGACTTTTGTAGAAAACATAACAATTTAGGGTTAGTGTTCTTGAGAGAAAGACGAAGATGAGAAAATTGAATAGGAACAGTCTAAACCCCTTTTATAAATGGCATAAAATTTGTATTTGAATCATTCACCAATAATAAGCCTCCACGTGTAAAGTGAAAAACTAAATAAACATCGTCTTCATCCGCCATGCGTAAAAGTCATAAGTGTTTTCCTTGATCAAAGAGAAAGCAATAGTAGTCTACCACATACTACACAACGATCACTTCCATGTCAATCTTCTTCTCAGAGACCCATCTACACCCAATGATATTAAGGCTAGGTGTAAGATTAACTAGGTTCCATTCTTGGTTATCGTACATAGAACGAATCTCGTTGTCCATCGCCTCTTTCCATTTTGCAACCTTTAGGCTTGCCATGGCTTCCTGATAGCTACACGGCTCATTATTTCGTAACAGGTTGTTATCCTCTTGAGTAATATGGAATCCATATAACTCTAGTGGATGACGTTCTCTATCAGATCTATGAGGTGGAGATGCAAGTACATTAGATTCCTCAATAGGTTTTTCAACCTCTTGTTGGGGTCTAGTGTCGTTTTCAAGTTCTTTGCTAGTTGGATCTTGAATCTCATCAAGATCAATTGGGCTCCCGCTAGTTTCTTGAGATACCAACTCTATATCTGATGAAAGACTTCCCTTAGAACAACAAAAATATTGTTCTTAGTAGGCTTGTAGAATAATCATCCAAAAGAATCTTCGGGATAACTAATTAAGTAACACCTTTCTGATATGGGTTCAAGTTTGTTAAGCAATTCTCGATGAATCAAAGCCTCACAATCCTAAACCTTGATTCGTTGAAGTGAGTGACAAGTTGATGGGTTTGAGCCAAAAGAACATCCTATGTGCTCATACAAACCCTAATGCTTGGATATAGGTTTCTCTAATTGTACATGCAATTCATACAAGGATCAAGAACCCTAATCTATCATATTTAATTCGAAATTATCAAATAAGAATAGATCTAGATGATTACCTATTCTTGAATGACTTGAATCTTCTTGTCTTGGAGCTTAGAGTCATAAATGTCACTCCTCTAATGGCTTACAAACACCACAAGCAAGAGAATGAAGTATAAGAGAGAGGGAAGAGATATAAAATCGGCTCTAGGGTTCCTTAGGATCAAGTGTAGCCAATTTCCCTTACCCTAGGGGTCCTTATATACTTGTGCTGCTAGGGTTTTAGTCCAAAACCCAAATGGATAACTTAGGCCTTAAGCAGTCCAAGGAACCTTCTGGAAAAAGGCCCCTTTGGATGAAATTGGATTCCCAAGCCTCCAAGATTTTGTTTATCCTTATTCCTTAGGGTTTCCCAGCCCAAATTCAACTATCATACATTTGACAGTTTTAGTCCCCTTTATTTAATTAATTTCTTTTAGTCACAAAATCAAGTCTTTATTAATTCTTGACTAATATTAATTAAACAATATGATTTCTCCTTTAATATATTATTCTCATAATATATTATTATATCATAATTAATCCTTTTTCTCCATAAATTATTCTATCAAGTTGCTTTGGTGAAGGCAACCCAAAAGGACCATGCACAATCGGGTCAAGTACATACCAAATATGGTTATGGGCTTAGACACTAATCCAACAGTTTGCCACTTCGATAAGTCTAATAACTAAATTTACAAGTATGACTTCGGAATCAGATTCGCAATCGTAGCTCTCAAAGACATTGTCCAACTCTGATCTTATCAACAACTTGTCCTTTAGATAAGGGATCATATATTCCTCCATTCTAGATATCGTATGAACTGGGACATGGATTTTAATCATACTCTCTATTCATGTGCTATTTCCCGATTTCCGATTTATGACGACAGACAACAGACTACAATTGAACACATCAACTTAGTCCTGGCTTAGCCAAGCGCTTAGGGTGTCATCACTAAATCATCGAGTGGCCCACTTTGGGTAAAAAGAACGGATAAACTTCGACTCGAATGCTCGCTTGTACCTACTCATCAAATCACACACAACAATATGTTTTATAATACCAAGTTACTGGTGCGTTTACATATTATCAATGTGCAACCGAATTGCATAATACAACTCACACATATCGGTTTCAAGAATATAAGATATTATCGTCTCACCAATCACTCATGATAAAATCCATGAAGCGATCCAAGTGAGCGTGGGTTTAACCTAATACTCTAATCTTATAGCATCACTCATGAACTCTGTAGCAAACTTGTGCTATGTATAAACGCTTTAGTCAATCTATAAACAGATTCATGGCAATCTTCTTTCATACCTACTTCCAATGTATGAGAGACTGTGGAGGGTTTGAATAATCTTATTCTTCGGTAAGTCAAAACATGCAAAGTGAAACACAAAAATAGTACTAATCCTATATGGGCCCACACTTTTGAGTATAAATAAAACATCTTTTATTTAATCACCATATTGATTACTCATTATTTGTTGTTTCGGGTAATCAACTTCTTACTTGAAATATAACAACAGTTGTCCCATGCACCAAGCATGCACATTAGGTTTACTTATGGTGTTTACTTTGTGAAATAGATCAAATGAAAACATTTCCAATGATGCTCATTTCGCAATTCCTAATCTTAATCAATTAGTGTAAGAACACAAATTTTTGCTACTACTAGAATATGTTAGATTCTAACATTTTATGCAACGATCCTTTCGTAATATTACAACGCCAAAGTCACCAAGACTTTTTCCAATGAAATTACAAAGTACTATATTGGAGATTGTTACAAGACAATTCCATAGTCATGAAGTCTCATATTCAAAGTACATTCCTTTGAGCATCCTTCTTGCATAAAAGTTTCTAATCTAGACATTGATTCTTGATATCCAACTCCCAACATGGAAACATTCCCATATTTGCCATATGAAAACTCATTCTAAATAGAATCTTATATATTCATAATAATTTCAATATGGTCTATCTATGACTATACTTCCAATTGTCCGTAAGCGACCAATCCTTGGCGAACCTTAGATTGTCATTGACAGTTGTTTAATTATTTTAGTCAAATCCGCTTCTATTCCCTTTTTCCCTCTAAATGCCCTAGGCATTTGGAAAATTTTAGAATGGTTGAATATTACAGCATATGCAATCGATCCTATACCCGAAGCGTATGGATACGATTCCCAGTGAAAACGTAATACTATACTAGTTTCTTGCTATAATATTGTCATAATATTTCTATTTGTCGTGTTCTCAAAATTTGAACTATGAAGAGGGATGTCGTAATCATAATCGAACTTTGAGAGTGCAATTAATATACCTTTGACCAAACTTGATTAAAACTTCTCGATCTAAGCTTTTAGATTTCGAAACAAAGTATGACATACTCTTTCTTAATTATAGCAAAACAACTTTTCAACCCCTGCAACTTTGCAAAGTGAAACCTTTTGTTTTCTATAATTAATATTGCTAACTTGCAACACTTAATAATAATCATGTCCCCACTAACATGATGATTATATCCATTCCGGCATAACATTTATGCTCCCACTAGCTTTGACACGTATTCAGAAAACATTTGGACTTCTAGAAATCAATACTTATTGACTTCTAAAGTGCATATTTCTAATACGACCTGCTTCGATAAGCCTTTATCTAAGCTTCTCAACCTCATACACCTTTCCTTAGAAAGCTCATATGTGTGTTTAAGCCATTTTAGAACTTATAGAAATAAGTCTTCAATGTTTAAACTAATTGCCAAATCTCACAATTCGAACTATGAAGAAGGATGCCCTAATCATAATCGAATTTGAGAATGCAATTTACACAATCGCTATCTCCTTAAAATCTCTCTTAGTGAAAGCATTTCCTCACAATAATTTTCATGAAGGTGAGAAACCTTATGACACTTAGATTTTATGGTGTATGTGTTCCTATCCATGCAAATTCATCATAAGCATAATCATAAGATAATGTTTGTGACAAATTCAAACTCTTATGGACAGAACTTGTTCATTCTTAATTTCTTGCCATCAAGGGTTCCACCATTGCTTATAAGTTATTTAGTAGCTCACCTATGCTAGTCAATATACTTTCATTGAACAAGGTGTTTGCCCTTATGCAATCAATGGAGAACTTGTAGAACTCATATGCATAAGTAACTTTACTGGAATGGTACAAAAATAAAAATATGTCAACACGATAGGTTATAAACCTCAAGTCGTGTGCTAGTGTGTTTAACTATGTTTACTCTTGATTTGTTCTTGAAACTTTTCAAGATTATTTAGACTCCCACTGACCTCTTGACAAATAAGATTCTCTTGGAAAAAAACATTTCTTGACAAACAGATATTCAAGAGTTAGTGTGGATTCTTATCAAGACAAACCACTACACACAATTGGTCTTAGTTGGTCCTTGTCTTATC